ACAAACCCTGCCACAACCCTGCCACAAACCCTGCCCAAGTGAGCACACAGAGGGAAGAACCCCAGCTCTCGTTTTCAAGACATCCCCAAAGCTTTGAAAACAAAACCAAATGATCTTTCCTCAGCTGATCATCCATGCCAGCAACACATATTTAATTTAAATAAATATATGCGCAAATCTTAACTGGCAGCAAATTTTACATCTTTCTTTTGGCTGATATTCCTGGTTCAAAGGGTATTCACAAGCATAGGAAAAGAAGTGAATTATTTTAAAACAGGAGGATGCATTTGCATGCCTATAAATACATAGAATAACTGCTTTTCCTGTTTCAAAGCTGCATTAAAATTACAGTTTTATAAAATAAGTTAATAATTTGAATTCTGTAAACACCTCTTAAAACAGTAAAGAAACTGAATGATCATAAGAGAATCTTAATTTTTCATTCAAGTTCAAAGACAGAGGATGTAAAATGTTAGAGTTGGACTGCATCAATTTAAAAAATACATAAACTTCCAGGTAACAGAATAAATACTTCTGAGGACACCTGGAAAAAAAAGCCTTCTGAAGATTTCACTCCTTCTACTTCTGCATACTGAGTGCCCCTCATGCAAGTTTAATTTATGCAGTGACAGATATCCTGAGAGACAGGAGCTGTATTAAAGACATGAAGATAAAATAATCCCAAGGTGAGAAGCACCAGTTTGGTCTCAATAACACTCTACTCAGCACTGCAGGTTAAATCAATTTGATTAACTTTGCTAGTTAGCATAAATATAACCTTCCTGATTAAAATACTAGTTTGTCAAGGATCAGACTCTCCTTACCTGGTAATAATCCAATCCAATTTAATGGCTGTTCCTGAGGAAGGAAAATCATCTCTCAGTATAAAATTCCCTCTCAGAGCTGTTGAAACTCTCTGGCCCAAGTTTTTGTGCTGGTGCCACCTCCTCTGTCCTGAGCCACAGGCTGGGTCACATGCAGAGTTTGTTCTTCAGCTTTGCAGCAAGGAGAACACCGAGCACCATGAAATATGTTCTGTTCTGGAGCCTTTCAATGAGACCATGGAAACTGAGCTCCTGCTCAGTGCTGATTTGAAATAACCTAATCCTGTAAAATGCTAAATCACCCTGGCAAAGCTCCTGCAGTCGTGTTCCCCAGGATATCAGCCCTGAGTTATGGGGTAGCACAGCTTGCCAGGATGCACCAGGCTCTCAGGGCATTTTTCAAGCCCTCTTGCCCTGGTCCCACTGCAGGCTAATTTGTGGCATGTTCTGAAATGCTTCCAGAGAGCTCTCAGGAGCAAAGGACACAGGAACTGCAAGGCTCCATCCATCTTTTGACAAATGCAGTGGAAAAAACCTGCATGGTCTGTACAAAGTGGGATCTGCTTGCAGGAAGCCACCAAGGACTCGTGGCTGGTAAACTCCCAGATTTTGGCTATTTCAAAAGCATTTCTTGCACTGATCCAGCACTGGGTGAGATCCCAGCCCTTCAGCAGCTCAGCTGTTCTGCACAGAGGGCTGGAAACAGCTGATTTTCAGCAAAGCCCACCACTCCCCTGCACTCAGAGCAGAAATCCACACGGATCCTTCCCCAAGGAATGGAAGTGCTGGGTCCCAGCTGCAGGCACAGAGCAGAACTGTTTGTGCTTGAAGAATAAACTGTGTCTTTTGGAACCAAAACACTGCTGCTTCGACTATGGCCACCAAAATGAGATTTTCTCAGAGCTCTGCCCCAAGGAGAGAGCTCGAGGGAGAAGAGGTGCAGATGGCAACAACCAATCTCCTCACTCAATGAGGGACACAAACCTCCTTTGAGCAAAAACAAGGGCAAAGCAAGGCTCCATGCAGATGAGAAAAGATGTGGGCAAATATACTGGTGTGTGTATATTTAAAATAAATCTCTTCTTTTTATGCTCTTTGTTCAACTGCATTATCAAAAAAGAGGTTTTAAATACAAGCTTATGGGACTACTAAAGAGGTGAATTTATGAATGTATTTCTAACAAAACACACTCTTGAAGGCTTTAATCTATGAATTGTGACAACCTTGGACAAAATGGATTTTTAATAGAATATAATGTAAACTGCCTGAAACACTGTGATAAGGAATTTTTTTTTAAGTAATGCACAAAAAAGGCAACGATGCACTCTGCATGAAAGGAGGAAAGGTCTTAATTTAAAGCATTTTAATGGACACTCAATTTGCCTAGGGAAATGTGAGAAATGGAGATGAAAACCTCCTGATAGCAGTAGCACTGCGGAGGGGAGAGGGAGGAAGATTAGGAAAGTAAGCAAATTTGAAAATGGTCCAGCTGATAAGAGGGGCTGAAAGGAACGCAGGCAGGATTAGAACGTGTCAGAGCCCAGAGTCACCGCTCTCCCTGCAGGCTCTGCCTGTCAGGGCTCTTATCAGAGCTGAGCACTGGCTCAGCACAGCCCCAGTGCCAGGCTGGCCTGCCTGGGGTGAAGGGCACCGGAGGGCACACACCTCACTCATTCAGCGTGCCTGTGACTCCTGGGGTTCCTCGGGGTCCCCAAAGCTCCCAGAGCTGTGCCGGGGGCTGGTGGGGCTTTCCACCCCGCACAAAGCCCGAGGGAGGCTCAAACCCACCATGAACTCAGCCAAATCTTAGCCAGGAATCAGCTATGCTCAGCCCAGAGGCTCAGCCCTGGCTTAGCCACTGCTCCTCCACCAGCTGGGCCAGTCAGCAGAAGGGAAATTCATTCCAAGAGAGAAAAAAGCACCTCCCCTGAGGTGGATGAGCCATTCTGTTCACTGACAGCTTCTGTCACAGGAGAGGTTGATCCTGCACTCACCCAAACACAAGCTGCCCTCCATGAAACTCCTTGGAGTCTAAAATGAACCAGCTCTAGTGACAATTCCATCACCCTGACATTAACAGAAGCAAGTTCAGGTCTCCCATCATCTAAATGAAACAGCAGAACTTCTCCAGAAACACTTGACATTCTTCAGAAGAAACAGGAGGGCCATCATTATGACCAAAAAGACAAATTAAAGGAAAGATCAAAGTTAAATATTTACTCTAAGCACTACAATATTTGCAAATCTGGAAGTGATCTTTCAGCAGTTTCTATTTGCATACTTTAATTAATCCAAAAATATTAAACTAATCTCACAAAGGAAAGGGTCAAAGTATTAATTAACTTGAGATGCATTGCTTTTGTGCAATTTAACAGTTCAACACAAAGCAAAACTCAGTTTTAATAAAAACTAAGTTACTGTGACAGGTATAATTTCATGGATTAGTGAAACCCCATACAAGGCAATAAGTTTCAATGTTCAAGCTATTTTTTTTTGGTCCAACTTTAAAAATAGCCCCTTCATTTTGATTTCAGTAACATCAGATGACCTCAATCTTCCTTTGACCTCAGTATTTCACTTTTAAACTGATGGTTTTCCACTTTGCTCCAAAGGGAGCAGAGGTTGTGCTTGTTAGAGGAAAGAACCTGATGGGGTTCACAGGGAGCAGACCCTGCCCAGCCACCTGTTGCCTTTTGGGACTACCTAAAACCTACCTAAAAACAGGCAAAATGAAGGGAATAAAAAGCAGTTATATTTATTGAAGGGCCTTCATTAAAGGGGCAGACAAAGCCCCCTAGGGGCTACACCCAAAATTTATCTGGACAATATTTCTCTGGTTTAGTTAATTTTTTTTTCTGTTGGCTCTTTGGCAAGAGGAATTCTTGTCAAAGAACCCAATTCTCTGGTTTAGTTCATATTTTTCTTGTTGGCTCTTTAGCAAGAGGAATTCTTGTCAAAGAACCCAATTCTCTGGTTCAGTTCATATTTTTTCTGTTGGCTCTTTGGCAAGAGGAATTCTTGTCAAAGAACCCAATTCTCTGGTTCAGTTCATATTTTTTCTGTTGGCTCTTTGGCAAGAGGAATTCTTGTCAAAGAACCCAATTCTCTGGTTCAGTTCATATTTTTCTGTTGGCTCTTTGGCAAGAGGAATTCTTGTCAAAGAACCCAATTCTCTGGTTCAGTTCATATTTTTCTTGTTGGCTCCTTGGCAAGAAGAATTCTTGTCAAAGAACCCAATTCTCTGGTTCAGTTCATATTTTTTCTGTTGGCTCTTTGGCAAGGGGAATTCTTGTCAAAGAACCCAATTCTCTGGTTCAGTTCATATTTTTCTGTTGGCTCTTTGGCAAGGGGAATTCTTGTCAAAGAACCCAATTCTCTGGTTCAGTTCATATTTTTCTGTTGGCTCTTTGGCAAGAGGAATTCTTGTCAAAGAACCCAATTCTCTGGTTCAGTTCATATTTTTCTGTTGGCTCTTTGGCAAGACGAATTCTTGTCAAAGAACCCAATTCTCTGGTTCAGTTCATATTTTTCTTGTTGGCTCTTTGGCAAGAGGAATTCTTGTCAAAGAACCCAATTCTCTGGTTCAGTTCATATTTTTCTTGTTGGCTCTTTGGCAAGAGGAATTCTTGTCAAAGAACCCAATTCTCTGGTTCAGTTCATATTTTTCTGTTGGCTCTTTGGCAAGAGGAATTCTTGTCAAAGAACCCAATTCTCTGGTTCAGTTCATATTTTTCTGTTGGCTCTTTGGCAAGACGAATTCTTGTCAAAGAACCCAATTCTCTGGTTCAGTTCATATTTTTCTTGTTGGCTCTTTGGCAAGAGGAATTCTTGTCAAAGAACCCAATTCTCTGGTTCAGTTCATATTTTTCTTGTTGGCTCTTCGGCAAGAAGAATTCTTGTCAAAGAACCCAATTCTATGGTTCAGTTCATATTTTTCTTGTTGGCTCTTTGGCAAGAGGAATTCTGCTGCCCTGAAGGGCCATGAGCAGCAGGTGTGAGCTGGGACTGGGGGGCTGCCTCCAGTTCGATTCAATAATCTATTCCCAAGAAGTGACACAAAGGGAGCAAAGCTGTCACCGGATCCCCCACACTTTGCAGGGAGGCAGAGGAGCAGCGCTGCAGCTCGCTGACGGGGTCAGTGAGTGTGGGGCAGGATTCAGCCCAGGGCTCACCCACCTGTCCATGGCGCCGGGGTCGTTGTGCACGCAGGTGAGCGTGGCCGTGCTCCGCGCGCTGTCCGTCTCCTCCTGCACTCCCCACTGGTCAGCGTCGCTCACCCTGATGTCCGAGATCCTCACGCCTGGGGCCGTCCTGATCCTGTGGGGACACCAAGAATTGCCTTTGAGACGCGGCGGAAGTTTTCCAGAGAAAACAATTCTGAAATTTTTAGAAATCCGTTTTGGTTTAGGTGAAATGTACGTCTTTGAAAACACACCTGTTTAGTCTGATTGCCTGTTCTCATAAAAGCCTAGGCTCAGAGAAACTGCTTCAGTGAAGGACAGAGATAAGGGGACAGACAGAGAGACAGAGACTGCTGTGAGAACAGGTCAACCTGACCTAGGAATTCTTTCTGATAAAGAATTAATGGCAAACGTCACCACGCAAAATTTGTAAAAATGAATATGTATGAACCTCTTGTGAAATTGGATGCATATGTATTTGAGAGGGGGATAAAGAAGGATCTGGAGTTCCCAGAGGTGTGGATGTCTTTTAGAGAGAGGAATCTCCACGTGCTGTAATAAACATACCAGCTTTACAACTTTCACAAAGTTGTGGAGTTTTGTTTGCCTCCACAAATCACCTTAACCACAGATCCACCCAGAGAGGTGAACAGGAGGCTGAAAGGAAATACTCCCTCTCCCATCAATGACAGGCTGCAGCCACGAGTCACTCTGTTTGAAAACATAAACCAGGTCCAGTCATTTACAGAGGTGAGGGATGAGTTTCATTATGTGCAAAGCCAGTCAACTTTAGCTTGAGCAATGTGGAGAGATTAAGAATGGTTTCTGCTCCTGTGGCCCCAGTCTGATACAAATGAAACAGATGTGATGAAGCATAAGTTGATTTAATTTGCTGTGTCTGTCCTGCAGTTTGAGATGGGAAATAAGAGCAATGTGTTATAAAATACATCCTCCTGCCTGCAAACCTTTGGGAGTGAGGTATCTTCTGATATTAGGGATACCTGCATGGAAGAAAAATGAGTTTCATTGCTCAAAGACCATAATGCAGGAAGGAGAGAAAAGGAGTAAGTTATCCTAGACTGAGGGAGGAAAACAATTATGTCATTGCAGCAGGATCTATCAAACTGGGCACATCAGACTGCTGCTGCCAAAAATAATATGATGCTGACATGGAAAACTTTGATTTCCTGAGAATGGCTAGAGTTTGAGAGCAGTGTGGTAGCTGGGAAATGTCGCCGGGTTTTGGCTCAGAAAAAATAAAACTTGCCAAAAATAAAAAGTCCATGCTCCAGCGAGGCTCAGCGTTGGGAACAGATTGCCAAGGAATAGGAAACAAACTGCTTTTATTAGCAGGAACTTCATTTGTGCAGCTTGACTCCTGAAACAAGCCTGGGATTACAACAGGAGTGCTGCAAATATGCCTGGAGAACAATTAGGCAGAGAGAAACTGCTGCAGCGCCACGCTCGCCACTGCTGTGACTTAATTAATTAAAAGCAAAGCCAAGAGGGACCTTTTAGTTATATGGTGGAATGGAACAGCACTGCTGGGACCTGGAGTGTTATTTAACAGTGAATTGTGATGGCTTTGCCCCATGCCTCATGGCCAGTTGGTGCTCGTGTCACACCATTAAAAACTTCCTTGGAGCTCTGGCTGGGTCCATGGGCTGGGATCAAAGTGAGTTCACAGCTCCATGGGCGGCCTGTTCCTCTGAGAAGGAATTAATTCATCCTGCTTTCATGATATCCTTATTTTGCCTGCAAGCCTTCAGTGACTCGATGGGTCAAATCTATGCCTGGCACAACCAAGCTGATGAAAAATATTCTCTGAAGCAGGATTGTACCTGATATTTTCTAATTGTGTCCTTCCTGCTTTCCCACAGGCATTCACATCTCCAAACAGCATTCCTCAAAGCTGAGGTGCCCTTTCCTATCACCTCCTCTTCTTTTTTAGAGGGACATTGAATTATTCTGTAGTAATTGCACTGGACCAAATAATTCCTGCAAGACACCTGCGTGGCTTCATTTCAGACTGACTTGTAATTCATATGAGATAGAGAATTGGGCCCTCAGCAATTAATTCAATATTTTCTTTCATTAGTAAACCACTTTTGAGGAAAAATCATTAGGACCTGGCAAAAAAAAAAAACCCAAAACCAAAACACCAAAACAAAGAACCTGTTTTTAAATTTTCTCTTCCCCAGCCAACTTTGTATTTTTTGAGAAATTCCTATCACCATCCTCTCAAGTTCCCATGCTTTTCTTGACAATGTGTCTGAAAACTTCTAACCCGACTTTTCACCCAGGTCAAATCCTGGTTAATTAAAGGTTGATTGAAGGGCAGAGATGCTGGGGGGGACAGGCACACCAGGACAGTTGGAACTTATCCACAATTTCAGGATTCATCAGCCTTTCCCATCTGCCAGAAGCTCGTTATGTCCTCCTACACAGCTTTGCACTGCAGAGAGCTTCACTGTGCAGCAGCTCCGTTTGTCTGTCCTGAACCAGATCTGGGGAGGAAGAGCATGAGGAGCTACACCGAGGATGAGGAGCTACAGCAATGAGGAGCTACAAGGATGAAGAGCTATACCAAGGATGAGGAGCTACAATAAGGATGAGGAGCTACACTGAGGATGAGGAGCTACAACAAGGAGGAGGAGCTACAATGAATATGAGAAGCTATGGGGATGAGGAGCTACATTGAGGATGAAGAGCTACACCGAGGATGAGAAGCTACATTGAGGATGAGGAGCTACAACGAGGCTGAAGAGCTACAATGAAGGTGAGGAGCTACACCAAGGATGAGGAGCTACAAAAAGGATGAAGAACTACAATGAGGATGAAGAGCTACAATGAGGATGAAGAGCTACAATGAGAATGAGGAGCTACGAGGATGAAGAGCTACAACAAGGATGAAGAGCCACAATGAGGATGAGGAGCTCCAGACCCAGCTCCTGCACGCCTGGCTGGGATTCAGGACCCCTGTGCAGCCCCTCCCGAAGCTGCTCCCCTCTGCCTCCATCAGTGGTGCTCACACACACTGTAAGCGTGCAGGAGCTCCAAGATCCCCCTCCTTCTCCCCATCGAGCTGTCCCAGCCTCCTTCATGGACCCTGCACCCCAAACCACCGACCCTGCTGGCCATCCCCTCAGCCAGGGAGCTTTGCTGTTCATCCTCCTGTGTCTGAGCTGGTTTTTGCCACCAGGTGAGGCTCTCCTCTGGCCCAGGGCTGGCTGCCCCTCAGGGCGACCCCTCAGAGGAGGCTCTGTGGCTTTTGCCCCCTCTGCCTCTCTGGGTGAGCAGCAAGTGAACAGCGCTCGCTGCTCCCCGGGCACCTTTTCCAAAAGTGTCTCAGAATGCTGCATTTTAGGAAAAATTCCAGTCTAATCCCTTGCGTTGCATCTGCTCTGGTGGGCTGAGACAAGATGTCATTTTGCATTTTTGGATATCAGTAGAGCCAGGAAGGTTGAAAGAAAGAAGAAACTACGTTCGGCTTCTCACTTAGGAAAAGTCAAGAAATTCAAATGAAACCAGCCTACATATGGGAGTTTGAGCCTACTGTTCCTCAGATAAGTGATTCATATCTTTAAATCTTCCCCCAAACTCCACAGGCACAAAAATTAATGTAAGTGTTGGGGACTGAGGCTTCAAAAAGGAGTAAGAAATTCCTAGCAGAGCTGCCATCAGCTGGAGAAGGGATGGTGAATGGCACGTGTGTGGGCCCTCCTCTGTGCCAGGCTTCAATTAGAAGCTTGGGTGGATCATTTCGTTTTCTCATACCTCCCTTCCCCACGTATAAAATACTGGAAAGTGTTGCTCTGCCAACTCAAAGGGAGCTGTAAGGATAAATGGAATTGCCTGCAAAAAAATCTGATGTCCTTTAAATTTGCCAGCTGACAAAAACTCTGCCATCTCTGTGCATGAAACTGTGGAAAGGAGCTGCTGAAGTATTTCATAGAACTGTGACCCAATAAGCAACTGTTACCACTAAGATGGCTTAATTACTTTTTTTATAATTTTTGAAATGAGAGGGGCAAAAAAGGAAAAAAGGAGCAGAACATGAAAGCCAATTGGAAATTTGGCAAAATTGACGTTTAGTTCCCATGAAATATGAAATATTTGCTTTCTGAAAAGCAGAATTGTCAGACAGAAAAGTGCCCTGTTGAAAACCCACCTCTAAAACATTGCAGTGCCCATTTGAAAATGCAGCTAGCAGGGATGTGAGACAGGGAGCTGGAATATAAAGACACAAACGTGCTGGGCTGGATGGAGCAGCGTTCCCAGCCTGCCAACCTGGAACCAGCAACTCTTTTAAAATGCAATCCCAGCCCAAAATGTATTTGACCCTGTGAATTGAGCCAGGCCAAACCTCTTCTCTCATTTCTCCCAGCACAAGGAAAATGGGACAAAGGGCTGGGAGGAAACTCAGGGCTGCAGGAGGGGTTTATGCACCCAGAACGTGGTTTGGGAATTCCACAGCCTCCCAGTGAATTCAGTGCAAAATCTGAAAGGTGAATCCTTGCTTGTCACACAGCCCCAGCCCCAACCTGGCACTGGGAACTGGGAGGTAAAGGCTTGGCAAAAGGAACTTTAAAATAGAAACAGAAGGGAAAGATATTTAGGAAATAAAACAGCGATGTGCTCACAGCAGATGGGAAATGCTCAAAATGATGTGAAAAATGACTTTTTCAGAGCTATTTTAGAAATCTTCTTATCCCCTCCCCACTCCATTAGGGGGGAAAGCATGATCTGAGCTAAATTCACTCTCAATGACGTACTAATAATAACAGTTATGATAAATTTCATTTGTAATCTCCAACCATTTCTGCAGTCAGCCCTTCCACACACATTTTTAGCCCAATTAAAAATAAAGCCATTATCCTTTCCCTACAGGAAATCCAAGCTGTAACCAGTTTAGTCAACTTGCCCAAAATTATACTCTCTGCAGAGCCAGAATGAGGGCTGATCCCTCCCAATTCCCAGCCAGACACCCCTCCCCATCTCTCAGACCAAACCAGAGCACAGCTGAGTAATTCCAAGCCCTCACAGAGCATTTACCATATTTGAAGAATTGCACAAACAGCAAGCAATTAGTTCTGAACAAGGTCCCTGGGGAGTTTCTAGTTAAAATACATGTGT